GAATACTCAGTGTGCACTTGAGTAGATGTGTATTCTAGTATTGGATAGAAATTTCTGCATAGGTCAGTTAGAACCATTTGTACTATAATGTTGTTCAAGTCAGTTGTTTCTGTATTGATTTCCTGTTTGGATGTTCTATCCATTATTGAAAGTGGGATATTGTAGACCCCTACTATTTTGTATTGTTGCCAATTTCTGCCTTAAGATCTGCCAATATTTGTTTTATGCATGTTTTATGTCTGATATTAAGTGTTTATATCAGTGTTATCTTTCTATAGAATTGACTCTTTTATTATTATATATCAACCCTCATTGTCACTAGAGAGTTTTAAATTTAAATTCTATTTAGTCTGACATAAGTATAGCCACCCCTGCTTTCTTTTGGTCACTATTTGCATGAAATATCTTTTCTATCCCTTCACTGTTGGCCTATGTATACCTTTAATTCTAAAGTAAGTCTATTATAGACAGCTGGGTCATGTTTTTATTTTTTAAATCCATTCAGTCACTCTAACTTTTTTGATTGGTGAGCTTAATGCATTTACATTTAAGGTATTTAATGATAAGTGGGAACTTACTATTGTCATATTTTAAATTGTTTCCTTTTTGTTTTGCAGTTGTTTTGTCCCTCTCTTCCTCTCTTGCTGTCTTCCTTTGTTCTTTGATGATTTTTTTATAGTGATTTGCTTTGGGTTTTTTCTATTTATATTTTGTGTATCTATTATAGAGAGGTTTTTTTTTGTGGTTATCTCAAGAGTTACATAAACTATCTTGTATTTATAACCTTCCATTTTAATTTGATAATAACTTAATTTCGATTACATACAAAAACATTAACCTTTTACTACCCCCACACACACACATACTTTGTGTTCTTGTAGAGTTTGCTTTTTATATTTGTACCATTAAAAAATATTTTTATCTATTAACTTTTATATCACTTTATATACTATCTTTACTGTGTTAAATTAATTTGTATATGTCCATATATTTATCTTTACTTCTGAGATTTATGTTTTCCTGTTGCTATTTTTAAAAATCCCTTAAGCATATATTGTAAGGCAGGTCTAGTGGTGACACAGTCTCTCAATTATTATTTGTCTGGGAAAGACTTTTTCTCGCCTTCATTTTTAAAGAATAATATTTCCTAGTATAGTATTCTTATTTAGGTGGGTTTTTTTTCCAGTACTTTGAACATATCTTCCCACACTCTACTGACCTCAAGGTTTCTGCTGGAAATTCACTTACTCTCTTATGGGAGGTGGCAGCAGGGGGCACAGAGGAGTCCTTATATGTAATTAATCACTTTTCTCTTGCCGTGTTCAAATTCTCTTTGTTGTTGGCTTTTTGATTATAATGTGTCTCAGTGTAATCTTCTTTGGGTTGATCTTGCTTTGAAACCACTGAGCTTCATAAATATGAATGTCCATTTCCTTCCAAAGATTTGAGAAGTTTTCAGCCATTATTTCTTTCTGCCCCTTTCTCTCTCTTCTCCTTCTGAGACTCCCAAAATGCATATATTGTTTCTGTAATGGTGCTCCACAAATCCTGCAAACTTTTTTCACTCTTTCATTCTTCTAGTTTTTTTCTCCTCTGACTGGATAATTTCAAATTACCTCTCTTTGAGTTCACAGATTCTTTCTTCTACTAGATTGAGTCTACTGTTGACACAAGGAACTTCCTTGCCCTTCCCAACCATGTGAAGACACACCAAAAAGATGACTATCTATGAACCAGGAAGTGGGCCCTCAACAGACATTGAATCTGCTGGTGCCTTGAACTTGGACTTCCCAGATTCCTAAAACTAAAGTAATAAACTTCTCATCATTATAAGCCACTCGATCTATGGTATTCTGTTATAGCGACCTAAGCAGACTAATACATCGAGTTATGAAAAAAAATTACAACTAATATTAAAAAGCAAAAAATTAAAAGAGACAGAACAAGCATCAGAACCTGGTGTAGCAGGGACAATACAATCATCAGATTGGGAATTTAAAATAAGCATGATTTATATACTAAGGGCTCTAATGAACAGAGCCAGCATGCAAGAACAGATGAGCAGTAGAAGCAGAGAGATGGAAATCCTAAGAAAGAACCAAAAAGAGATGCTAGAAAGCAAAAGCACCATAACAAAAATGAAGAATGCTTTTGTAGGTTTATTAGTAGACCGACTACAGCTGAGGAAAGAATCACTGAGAATGAGGATACGTCAATAAAAACCTCTAAAACTGAAAAGCAAAGTGAATAAAGACTAAAAAAGAAAAACAGAATGTCCAAAGACTGTGGGACAACTAGAAAATATATAACATATGTGTAATGGAAATAGCAGAAGGAGTAAAAAAATACTTGAAATAATAACTGAAAATTTCCCAAAATTAATGTCAGATACCAAACTACAGATCCAGAAAGCTCAGAGAGCACCAATGCCCTAAATAAACACCCAAAAAAATTACACCTAGACATATCAACTTCAAACCAAAGAAAATAAAAGATAAAGAAAAAAATTCTAAAAGTAGGAGGAAAAAAACACACTCTTCCTAAAGAGAAACAAAGAATTATATCTGCAAGCAAGAAGACAGTGTAGTGAAATATTTAAAGTGTCAAGAAAAAGTAAACAACCTAGAATTCTATACCATGTGAAATTATCCTTTAAAAGTAAAAGAGGTCTGCCACAGAGGGAGGGCACACTTCAGCTGGGGAGGGGAAGAAGTAACACAGTATAGACTAGTGAGTCAGTAACCAATCTGAATGTTTGTATTCTTCCAAAATCAGTATGTTGAAATCCTCACCGCAATGTGACAGCATTAGGAGGTGGGGGCTTTGGGAGGCTTTGTCCTCATGAATGACATTAATACCGTATAAAGGAGCCCTGAGAGAGCTTCCTTGTCTCTTCTATCTTGTCCCATCTGTGATGAGAAGTAGGAAGTCTGCAACCTGGAAGAGGGCCCTCACCAGAACCCAAACCATGTTGGCAACCTGGTCTTGGGACTTTCAGCCTCCAGAACTGTGAGAAATAAATTCGTTTCAAAACAAATAAAAATAAAAATAGAAAAATAAAAGTGAAAGAGGAATAAAGGTTTTCTCAAACAAAAATTGAGAGAATTTGTTGCCAGTAGGCCTGCCTTGCAAGAAATGTTAAAAGAAGTGCCTTAGAGAGAAGGAAAATAATGTAGGACAAAAATTCAGGTGTGCGTCAAAGCAAGAATAAGTGAGATAAAATAAAAATTCTTATTTTTCTTATTCTTAATCAATCTAACAAATAATAATTTGCTCAAAATAATAGCAACAATGGATTTGGTTATGTATGTCTATATATATTGATATATATCATATATGTGTTTATGTATGCTTATATATAAGTGAAATGAATGACAGCAATGATACAAGTGACAGAAGCAATGAATTAGGATTATTTTGTTATTACAAGGCACTCACACTACTCGTGAAGTAGTATAGTATTAATTGAAAATGGATTGATATTAGTTGTAAATCAATACTGAATTCTAGAACACTTAAAAAGTAAAAAAATAAAAGTATAGATAGCTAAATGCTAAGAAAGAAAAAATGGTATCATATAAATGTTCGATTAAGACCACAAAAAGCAGAAAAAGAGTGGACAAAAAGGTAGGAACAAGGATAAAGTTCATCGAATAGAAAACGGTAAGGGATATAGTAGTTATTATTACAACTATATCAATAATCATTGAATGTCAATGGTCCAAATGCACAAATTAAAGGACAGTTCATCAGAGTGGATCAAAAAACAAGACCCACAATGTAAGACTTACACAGTAGTATTGTCTACAAGAATCAGTAATCTTGATATCTATAAGAACCGCAGTTTGGCTTACGTCAACATTTATTTGCCATAGTGTGACAAGATTCCGAGGAAGCTCATGAGGACCACACTACAAACCTGGACTGTGTCCTAGGGTCAAGCAAAGACCCATTGTGCCCTACTGGTTCCCCACTTTGCATCACAGTTCTGGCGCTGTCCAGTAAGCTTTTGCTGACCCTTGCTCAGGTCTTTTTAGGTGACTAAGAATCTTTGTGGAGTTTCCAAAGGAAAAATTTCCTCCAGGGCATGAAAGAGTTCTATAAGGACACCCACTGCATTTGGTTTGTGTATAGACATGCATGTAAAGGCTGGTTTTCTCTAGAAGTTTGTTCAGACTCTACAGATCTCGAAGGAAAAATTAAAATGAACATGGGAAATCATGCTTCTGAGGCCAACAATTCTTAATGTAAGTTATTGATTTTTCAACTGAAAATCATTTATCCTTACTCCAAATAGATCTATTTTAAAAATGTTATCCTATAATCTTCAAGTTTTTAAGTTTAAACATAATATACCGAAGGGGGGGAAAAATCAGGGTTTTATTTGCATGCAAGTTCCAAATGAGTTAACTGAAAAATACCTACAAAAAACACTTTAATAGAATTTGGGTTTTATATTAACAAATATACATTATCTAGAATAGGAAGATGAAAATCTTACCAGGTACTAATCAGACTACATCAAGAATATTATGTATGGTTCTAGTAACATATGTTTTTTAAAGAGAGAGAGATTCATAAACTGAAGAGGATCCCTAGATCCCTCTTCAAAATAATGAGAATAATCGAAGATATTTTGAACATATTTATCCTTTCTAGAAGAGATTGTTTTAAAGATTGAAAAGAAGTCATAGGAAAAGAAAGAATAAGTAGATAACAGGCAGATAAATTTAAGTCAGTTTAGAAAGGAAATTGTAAGAAACAGAGTTGCCCACTACTGAAACAAGACACCAGAGGGTTAGTCAGTTCTTTATCATAAGAGTGTTCAGGCAGAGACAGTGATCACTGGACGAAGATTTAAAGCACAATTTCTTCCACAATATTCATTGAGTGACAACAAGCTACCAGGCACAGTACACCTAGGAGTACTTTAACCTTGTCATAAGGTTCAATGATCTTAAAATGTTGAAAGTAGATGAAATACCTACTTTTCAACTTACCTTTTTTTCCTCCTGCAACATTATTACTTCATAAAATCGTGGTATATGTGAGCAATAATTTTTCCGTTGATCTTTCTTGATGTTAATATTTTCATAATGTGGTGTCTTCTTCCTTTAGAAAATTAAAAAAAGAAATTGAAGCGTTCACAATTTCAAATACCTAAATGTTTATATAAGCCAAAAGAATACTTTTACACCAACATTTTCTACTTTAAAATGTATACAATAATAAAGTCTCAGTGTATTAGGCCAATATATTCTAAATTTTGTAAAATATATTCATTTATCTTGGTTAGTTCTACATTTCCAATTCAGAGCATTATAATAAACCTAATATTAGAACAGATTTACTATGACTCTAAAACAAAAACAGAATATGGGATTCATGCCATGAGTTTAAAAAGCTACCAAAAGTTTCCTGTGCATTCTATTTATGATAAAAATTCTTTAAAATTTCAAATCTCTTAGTATTTCAATTATTACTAAATAGGGAAAATAGCCCTATGCTATTTATATTATAAATAATCAGGAAAAGAGTATAAAGATCTTTGAAAATGAAGGGGAAGCTTATTTTCACTGAAATCTATACAACCTCAAGAAAGAATAAGAAACTACACAGTGATTAAGAGCCCAATCTCTAGAGTCAGACAGCCTGATGTGAATCCTAGCATTGCTACCTTCTAGCTGTGTGACCTCACACAAATCACCTAACTTCTCAAATGGTCAGATTAGATTCCTGACCTGATTGGAAATAGTAATAAACAACTCTCAAAGTTGTCATGATTGGAGTAGATAATATATAGGAAATGTTAAGTGCTATACATGGCCCATAATAAGTACACAATAACTGTTAGCTATTATTATTATAAGACTATATTTAAATAAGCTACACTGACTATACTATTATTTTCTTCTTTCTTAAACAGAGCTTTTTTAAATGTTATATTACACATTTCCAGTGAATTATCTTGAACATAAGCAGATAAAAAAGCAGATAATAGAAAAACATAAAAACAAACACTTACATTACATAATGGCAATTATTTTCTTTGACATTGCTATAACTTAAATATGCATTTAACACTGTAGTTCACTGATATATGCTGATTCCACTGATTTTTTTTTTTTTTCACAGAAAATTCAATAAGTGAACTTGCTTTTAAAATCTCAAATAGTTTCATGGATAACAAATTTCTTTTGGGGATACCAGAAGGGTCACATATCATTTAGGCTGGTCTTTCCCAGAGACCTATAAGCAAACCAGCCAAACTGAAAGAAGGTGAGGATAAGGTTAGAATACTGAATAACAAAATCATATGTCAAAGGCATGAGTAGAGTTAGAACATTAGATAGACTTTTGTTTGGAAGAATAACAAAGATATTAAGTTTAGACCCCATTAAGCTAAATATACATGTAACTAAAAGAATAAAAATATAAGGTGTATATCTCATATTAGGAGAATGAAAAATGAAAAGGACAATAGAATAGTCTATAAATTCCCCAAAAACAAGGATATGTTTTATTATTTTTATTCTGTTACTACATTTAGCAGTAGCAGGGAGGTCCAAGAGTCTAAGCTATACCACCACTGGTATATAGATGTCTGAATGTGTCTAGCAAATTGGATAGGTAATCACTGTGGTATTTCTTGTGAGAAAACTCATTCTCTGAAAGAAAACATCAGGTAAACAGCATGGACCCTATTTTTAAAAATGTAATGATGAAAAGGAGTAGTAGTTTCTGAAGACAACATTGTATTTGTGACTCAGTTTTGTCTTCGATGGGCCCATGTAGGAGCAGGAGATAATAAAGGAGGAGCAGGAGATAATAAAGACTGCGTTATTTTACCAGAAATGTATTTCCTAGTTAAATTTTATTAATATTATCTCCAACCTAAGGTTATGGCTCTGATCCACATTGAGAACACCTTCTAAATCTATCATGTAGTCAAAAGAATGGACACCAGTGCTAGGGACAAGATGAATAATGCTGGGTCGTTTTCTTTTATATTTTCTCCGATCTTTTGTCTCTTTTATAATTAAAGACAGTATATTTTAGTACTTAGATACATGGGCTATGTAATCAAACAGGCCTCAGTTAAAGTCTAGCCCTGCCAATTAATAGCCACATGATTTGGAATATGTTATTCTCTTCGATCTTTGCATTTTCCACTGACAAAATAGGTATAACAACAGTAACTACACAGAGATTTGTGGCGATTAAATGATGTAATACACGTAAAGCCAGGTAGCACAGGATCTGGCTCACAAAAAGCAATAGTTTTCAAATAGGTTACTACAAAATATACTACTTCTAGGAGATTTTATACTAGCTTTCCTTTCATAACAGCATAAACTAAAGTATTAGAATACTTAATAGTCAAAAATTATACTAAAGGTATACTTTTATTTACTTTTTTTTTTTCTACTTACTGGACTATATCATACTGTCCAGGACCAGGCCCTGACTGTGTAGGTAATTCTGGTCTTCCCAAAGAGTTGCCAAAATGTATTCCCTTGTACTTCAAAGATGCATTAGAAAACTCCTATTTAAACAAAAAAAAAAAAAAAAAAAAGGAAGACATAATTTATGTAAGTCACGAAACAATGTTTATCCATATTTAAGTCTAAATCTAAAGCAAGGATAACCTTAGTCAAGGGGTTTCACTGGTAAATGCTAGTCTTCCTTGAAAGATCTCAAGGTAAAGTATTACTGCTGTGCCCCATTCCACTCCTGAGTCAGCCAGCATTCCCAGAGAAGAGCCTCTAGTTTTAGCATATCCTCACCAATATGAACAGCTTTGTTCTTGGCAATACATTCAGCAATCTAAAATCTTAAGGCAAAGAAAATGAGCGCCTCGACATTTAAAAAAAAGAGGAAGGCAAATTGTATGATTTAGGGAATGGGAAAACCTACTAAAAATGACCTTAAATAGAAATTGTATTAATCTCAAGAAAATAATTAAAATTCAAACACAACCAGAAGATATTAGATAGCTTTTAATTACCTGGTATTTAAAGCCATAACATATTATAAAGTTTTCAAAGAGTAATAAATATATGACAATAAATTAAACACCACACCCATTTTATTTTACCAATCATGCTTGAAGTCAAGATCAGTCCTTTAAATGCCAAAGAAATTATTTGTGACATGAGAATTTAATCATTTTTCCTTTATAACCACTACAATAGAAGTCAAAATTAAGTATGACCTATTAAAAAGTTCACTTTAGATAAGTTAAAGCATCTTGTTTCATTAAAAACTAATAAAATAATAAAGTGTAACACAAGAAGAGTAGCTTCTCTTATAAGAATTCTCTCTTGTTGACATATACATTCTAAATTGAATAATCACTTAAGAATATTTTAAAATAAACTTACTTTTTTACTAAAAGTAAACTCTAGTCTAATTTATTAATTCACATTTATAAAAACATAGTTTTAAAATAAGTTTGAATTATTAAAACAATATATATGACACCAAATAAAATCCCCACAACATAAACTTAAAGTTTAACTGCATTAAACAGTGTGTCAGTTGTTCTAGGTGTCTATTACCATTCTAGAACCGTAGAACCAACCTCTATTACGATTATAAACAACAATAATAATAAAATAAATAGCAATATTTGTGATAAAAAGTATAATTCCATGTTAAATGGTTAAGTAAACCCATATCTGCCCCATTCCCACATTTTTTTTTAATTATATAAAATTGACAGAAATTATCAGTGCTGGAAACTAAGAGAAAGTATCATTCACATTCCAAAACTTTGAGGAATTTCTGAAAAATAGAGCATAGCAGACTAGAACCAGAAAAAGACATCACTACATGTAAAAGGAATATCGGCCATGCCTTATTAATGTCCCCAGAAAGACAATAAGAATGGAATCTTAGGTAGTAAGTAGCGAGCAGTTCTCAAAACTACTAATACCTTTGGAGATTTGCACCAGTGCCATTACATGAAGTGATGAAAGAGAATGCTAATACCCACTCTATTCTTTGCATGGATGGTGGGATTTAGGTTAGAAGCACATTAGCCCCTAATGAGGGCAGACTTTCTAGTTAGAAAGGCACCACCCCAGAAAGCTTTGGATTGTCAGAACAAAATCCAAAAAAAAGGTGGCACAGCACTAAAATTCCCTATGTGAATATGCTTTTTACTTCCTGGAACTTATCACTAATGACTAGCCCTCATATGTTATAAAATGCAAACACAATAAAACAAACTTTTCCTATACACCCACTTGATCTTAAAGAATTAAACAGAGGCCAACACAATCCCTGACAGAACTTCAATGTTTGCATGAAGTGAAATGAAATGAGACTTTTGCTGATTCTTTTTTTTTTTCAGAGATGCAATCACATAGAGAAATGAAATTATAGTTTCTCTGAAGGTTTCCCTTGCTTTGATTTTAGTAAATCCCCTTGCTTGTTCCTTGCTTAGGGTGGTAGAGGATGTTAGAGCTGAGAGAAACAGAGAGTTACCAGCTATGCCCAAGTAAGATTCAGACATGTTTTGGAATGTCTGGTGAACCAATAGAGCAAACCAACCAAAAAGTGAATGTGAAAACTAATCCTACAAGAAGCAGCCAATCATGACCTCACCCAGTAAGAAAATCTTAGTGTCAAGAGTGGCAATGCTAAACATTGTTTTTTTGTTGACTGAATTTGCCTTCTTACAGACAGTCCCCATTGGACTTATGCCTGTGTCTTGTAAAATGCAAAGGGGCTACGAAAAATCTAAAACACCTGTTTCATTAAAATAATGGTAAAAATCAGCCCTACTTTTAGACCTCATTAGTAGAGTATAACACAAAGAAAGAACAGCATTATCCTCTCAACTTTGCCCAACTCAGCCGGCAGTTTTAGCTGCGATAAGCACACTGCAGGAAACGCCCAGCAGAGAGCACCATCTGGCAGGAGACTGAGATGTCTGGTGGAGCAGCAGCTGTCTCACGGAAAACAGACTTGTTCAGGAGCACGGATGAGACAGCTCCTGAGGACTTCTAGAAACATCTGGAAAGGAGAACTTTGTAGAAGGCTAGAGATCCTCCACAACAATAGGAGACAACATAAATACATTTGAGTTATCAACATAATTGTGATTCTCTTTTTACTTACAATCTAATGAAGCCTGTGAAAACTTGTTACATAAATAAAAAGAATCCTTATTTCCACTAAGAATATTTCCAGCACTGTAAATGGTCTCAATGTGCTTATATTATTGATATGCAAAGTCCCTCTAATGAATTATAAAAAGAGCAGAGAGGTATTTTCTCCTCTTCACTATGGACATTTAGGTTTAACACTCTTTGAAGCTAAAATACTATAAAGCACTATATCAAAGTAAGACAGTAGTAGTAGTAGTCCTATTACTATTATAAGTAGGTTGTCTAGATGATACATGATTCCCAAGGCCAGACCTTTTTAGTCCTAGAACAGAGCTATGAATAAAAATGGAAAGAGCTATCCTACCAATCTCTCTAACACATGGAGTATATACACTGCTTTGGCACTCCTGAGTATCACACAGAAGGAAATAAGGCAGTTAGATCATCCAGAGGCTTTGGGTCTAGAGAACAGAGACAAATACTGTAACACCTAGCAGAGTAACACAGAAAAATGGCACAGCCTGACATGTCCCGCAGAGCAGCAGATGGTAGCAGAGGAGTACTGGAAGAAACCATGGCATCCACTAGAGTAGCTGAAAAGCAGCCTGTTCCTTTGGGTCAGTGGCACTCCAAAGACTGCTGTACCCTACAGAGCTTCAGGAAAAGAAAGACTGCCAGGCCACACAACACTTTCTTTTGCTAAAGTAAGTGTTTTAAACCACCTTTCAAATGGGATTTCCCGATATAGCCATGGTTTTAAAGTATGTATACAGCTTTGATGGCAGAAATAAAATTCCTCATCCGTGTTATACTTTCTTTCTACTTAGAAATGAAGCAGAATTTCATAATTGTGCAGATTTTAGGTATAATTACTAGTGAAGTACACAAATGTAGAACTCTGTTCTAATACAGTCATAATAGATACATTAGATATTTTATATATTTCAGACAGAAGCATATCTAATATCTAGACTATAGCCTATAGGTTTGTAAAGGAAAAAAAACAATATTTTAAAACAGCATTTTGATAAATCATCTTTTATATCATATTGTTATAGCTTAAAAAATACATATTAAGGTTTTATATTAATTCTTTTAGCACAGAATTTCAGGACCTTGAGCAGAATTATGTCCAAAAAGTTTTCTTCAGGTTCATTTACATTACTGTGATTTTCTGGTTCAACTGTTTAACAATTCTTAAAGTAATCCAGTAGAAGAAAAGATGATGCATACACATACACACACACCATTTGAGATTTTAGCAAAATCTTTTTCATGCATACACAATAAAATTCATTTTATTTTAATCATGAGAATTAAAAAGCATTTAACTCACTAATCTCTGCAGTACTTAGGTAAATGTTCAATCTCAAATTCAATTTAAAAGCCTTTTAAAAATACAGACAAAAAAATGAAGAATAAATTGATACACTCTTCCTTCTAAATCATACTCTATGTCAAGAAATATTAACGATACCAACTTCAAGGTCATTGTCAACTTAGAAAATCATTAGCAAATAAATATGACTTAATTGAAGCAAACTCAGCATGAAGCTGAATTGTTTTAAGCGAATGTTGTAATGTAACTTGAAGAATTACTGTCACACCCAATGACAATGAAATGAATGAAGAAGGGGCTGTGCAACTTTTCCCCAAGTCTCTTCTATAACCTGCTTTGAATTAAAAGTCCCAACATGCATCAATTTAAACACTAATAAAGAATTAAAAGTCCAACATGCATCAATTTAAACACTAATGGACTGCTTTCCAGTGTGGCAGCACACAGGTAGTTCCCAGCATGTTCTCATTAGCAAATACATCAGTGTCATAATTTCAACTGCAAACTTTGCTTACAAAATTCACCTCTGAAAAGTAAATGTCTAATGATTACTTGGGCTCATCTAAAAAAAGAGAGAGAGAGAGAGAAGCTAAATTTTATCATTCAAAACGTTATACAAAATAATTTATATATGAATTTCTCTTTACAGATTAAATACAGCTAAAACTTATCATTTGTTGCCTAGAGTCTTAAGCTATATAAGATACCTTCAGCAGATGTTATTGGCTAGTTCAGGGAAGAACCATAATTATTACCCATTCCTTAGACTATTTTCTTAATTTTCTATTAATATTCACATCTGGAATCTGAGCCCACATATAGTATTATCTCAAAAAACAGCTAAAGAAAACAGAATTATCAGAAATTTGGATAAGATGTGAATTAACATTACTACAGTATCAACTTCACAGCCATCAATGAGAAACCTGTGCTGTTTCTTTTTTTCTGCAGGAAAAATAAGAAAACAAAGCCTTCGGCTATTGAGCTTTGCTACCCTACCTCTAGTTTTCTCAAAGTCAAGATGGATATTTCAGAATATATCATGATCCAACTCAAATTAAACTTTGTTGGATCTTCTTGAATATTAAA